ATGTATGTACGTATGTACATACATATGTATCGGCAAATTCTGATATAGTATGCTACAATATGACATGATAGAATACGGCATAATGTGATATAATATCATATACTAAGATATCATATAATACAGCCTCATATAAAAACCTTCCGAGCCCCATTGGGCCCCCATTTTGGGCCCCCCCCCCCCCCACTTCGACCTGTTGCAGCATGCATCACTCTTTTGAAGCATCACAACCTATCCTCGACACAAATTCAATGTGCACTACACAAATCCCTCCCCAGGAAGTGACTGCAAGCACCGTTAGTGCAAGAGCTACGTTGGCCTTCAGCTCGTCGCGAAGCGCTGCTGCACGCTCGCGAAGCTGAGTGAGTCGCGCAGACTCCATGGCAAACACAGGTAGGGAAGCGTTGGCTTAACGTGTCTTGCGTCGTACTATGGGCACTGCTACAAAGGCAGAAACAGGAGAGCCCATGAGACAGAGTCTTCACCAAGGTGTGGCAAAACCTTCTTGGCTTTCTACAAAATCTACTGGTTTTGGGGATCTTTTGGCTGCTGACTCATGCACCTGCGAACCAGTGCCAACCATTCCAGCTCAAACATCGACACCCCATGCTTTATCTCTGCATGGGTGTTATTGGCAAGTGTTGATACCCGAGTTCGGGGAGAAGGACGAGCTGCTCAGCATCGCACTAAACGTTCATTAATCATCAATGTTTTCTGCTAATCTGACTGGATCATGCGCGTTCCTTCTCGCCATAACCGTTGAACTCCATTCGTAGCCAGTTATACATAAGTTTTCTTGGAACTCCTGCGTGGTGTGTTCAATCAACACCTCCTCGGCCGTATCGCACTCAGAACATCATAGCTTTGTCAAGACTGTTTTTCTACCGTCCCTGCAACGACGAAGCATTCAGCCCACCGGAAATTAGTGAAGTCATTCTTACGCATGCCTGCCTCGCCACGATGTACGGCAGATGCTAAGCCAACATCCAAGATTCCAGCCGAGGGTGGCCGAGGCAAGCACGTGCGGCGATGCTTCTATCCGGTTGTGTATTGGTGTGCAGAGATCCATGTCTAAGGGGCAAGGAGCCTGACGATGCTTCGCCCGGTGCTGCCTGCCTCTCGAACTCCAAAGCACCCAATACACCTAGGCAAATCCCCCCCAAGCCCACTAGGCCCATAAATTTGCTTCTGGATTGTGACTCCCCTAGAGTCCTCAATGCCCAAGGTCCTAAACGCAGTCTTGACTGCAACCCTACCCCTGCAGTTAAACGTAGGTTGGACTGATATTACTAGCATTACGTTACAAAATTCGAAAGACATCTGGAAGCAAAGCCACTTGACCCAAAACAGCTATGGCAGCAAAACCACATGCAATTCCTTCCGAACTCACCTAGCCCGACAGGACTCGGCTGCATGTTGGCTTCTGAACGATACTCCGAGCTCCAGTCATCGTGCCCGGGGGCGGCAAGATTGTAAGCCCTGTGATTCGCACCTGTGTCTTGCACTTGGCACGCACACAAGACTCAGAAATCTGGAGCGGGCTGCATCTTCCCTTCTCTTGAATGCGCAAGCCGCAGCTCAAGTCAGGCCAGCCTGATCAGGGCCTTCTCGTCCGAGCAAGGACGAGCAAACCTGGGGTGGAGGCAATGTTCTCCCACCAACAGAACATCAGCATTTTGGATGTAATCTCTCTCTCAGTCATGCCTAGCAAGTCCACAAGCGAGACTTCTCGTCAGCAGCCCGTTCTTCGATGTAATCTGTGCCGCACAATCAAGCCTTTTTTATTGTTCGCAAAAGTTAATTTGTAAACCGGAGACTTTTAGGGCCCCGGCGCCCCAGTGACACTTGAGGTTGCCGCGCATCTCGCACATATAACCTGACTTGGTCTGCATCTTCTAATTCGGATACAGTGAAACGGCTCTGCAGCTGATGAGGAGGAACAGCAGCAAGTGAGAAGAGTTGTCAAGAAGGGGCGTCCTAGAGCCGACTCGAAGCAGTGTCACCCGCAATGGAAAGATAGGCTCGCTGCCCATGTTCGAGCGCCAGTACGGAGAGCCCATTGTCCGCATTCCGTTGACATGCCACTTCATGCCTTTCACACGCAACACGCAACGCGCAAGTCGCGGAACAACGTCGCTCTATCTGTGATGACCCATCTATCAGCTTCCCTGAGGCACCGTTAAGGAAGTTTGGAGAACCAATCTTCGAAGCTTCATGCCTGAGCTCGGATCAAGGATTTCGTGTTTCGTCATCTGTCCATTGCAGCTGCACAGGGATGGAAAGCTTGGGCAGCAAGCCAGATGCCTTGGTCAGACAGCACCTGGAAGCTCCCCGGATCGGAGCCCCGTGATCTGTGGCCATCTGTGTGTGAAGAGCCGGCCTTGAACTTGCAGGGCTGCCGCATCAACCTGGAGGCAGGGTCTCAGATAAACGCCTCGCAAAGAAAAACTTCCGACCTCCTAACAAAGCCGGCAACAGCGCGCATAGCACCCCGACAATGCAATGGCATTGTGTTCTAGGAGGGTGGGGCTTACGAATTGCCAAGCGGCTGATGCAACAGCTGTGCGACCAACGGCATTTGATGCACCTCAGGCATCAACGAGCTTATTGCTTTTCTGCGTGCTGCCCTGCAACTGCGGCTTGCAAGAGCCCTCTCTGCAGGCAGGTGTGCCAAACTGTAAATGGCTGAGGCAACCGCCACATCACTTTGTGGAACATGAACTTCCCGGTCATCGCCGCACTCGATGAAGGCAATCTCAAGAAAGGCCACTAGCGACTTAGTGCGTCCCGGGTTGGCAGAAGAGTCAGGCACACACGTACCCGCCAGCTCGATAAATTTCAAGCGATGAGAAACAGCAAACATGAGAATCACCGTCCTGACTTCCAATTGGTGACAGCAGCACAGCTTTCCAAACCAGCTGGCAGGGCCAGCTAGGCTACCGCACCCGTTCCATGTCAATACATTGACATGTTTCTTTAAGCCGCATACTGCATGTTGTTCTCCCCAGAAATTCCCAGAAGTTATGGAAAGCCGGACATGCAGCAAGGATCAACGGATCTGCACCGGGCAAACGGACGAATACGTTAAAAAAGCATGCACGAATTTAAGCTTTGTTTCGCATACCAGCCGTGCTCCGGATGGAACTCAAGGTATTTCATGGTATTTCGTTGAGCTACTCAAAGCAAAATTGAGGCTGTCAACACGAAACTGTACGGCAGCTGGAGAGGCGGTGCGCGCCTAATTTTCGCAATGTTCTCTCTCAGCTAAACAACCATGACTAATTACTCTACATCGAACTACTTCGCGGGCTGACGAAGTGAGCAAAGCAAACCCTGCACGTGCTTATATGACTCAACGCGGCATGACCGAACTTTCCTCTGGCCTTGCCGGTGTCATTCAGACTCACATCCTTCGTGGGGGCCAAGCTGTGGCAGAACCTTAGTTCAGTCAGTTCGTCCAAGCTTGCAGCTTGCAGTAATCATGCCCTGAGATTGAGCAAGATAGCGGGCACGAAGCTTCAGCAGGAGGCTGATCGTTGGACGCCAAGCCCAGAACTCCCAAAGGTTGTTGACATCGGCCATCTCTGCAGGCTTTATCCTGGCACAAGAGGGATCTGCTTCCCAGGCGTCGGAACACCTGCCTACGTCTTGACCTTTCCACCGTGGGCCGCTTAGTTGACCCACATTGTAACTACCCGGAATGAGGGAAGCGAGCCGGGCCAGCTGCTGCAACAGGCAAGTCCTGCGGGTGACGAACACGACAAGGAAAAGTATTAGCATCACAGACCATTCAAGTGCAGCCGCAGAAGCAGCAACAACAACTGCAGCTCGATTCGGAGCAGCGGCAGGTGCAGAAGTAGCAGTGTTGGCAGCTATGACAATGACAGCGGCAGTCAGCAGGCAGGATAGGGGAACGTTTCAGCGGCGCAATATCTGGGATCATGCGTTTCTGGGAACTGCCTCAGTAACGGATCAGCCCCCTGTTTAAATTCGGTCGAAAACCCACGGCTAAAAACTCTACGAGGAGCAGCTGGTGTCAGGACCTAAAACCCTGACAGCAGGACCTGGTTCCGCAAACTCCAATCGTTGGAAGGCCGAGAACATCCGAAAACCCAAACAGTTGGAGTGGGTGGGTGCGGAAAACCAAAACCCTGAAAAGAGTGGGTTGGTGCTGAAGGCCCAAACCTTGCTGAAAAAAACGAGTGTGTTCTACGAATACCCCAAACTCCAGGAGGAGTAGCTACTGCCAAAAGCCAAACCCCAAAAGGAATCGGTGGGTGCGAAACCAAAGCCCTGAAGAAACCCCAAACCCTAAAAGGAATATGCTTTGTGAAAGCCCACAACCCCAAAACCAGTAGCTGCTGTGAAAACCAGGAGTGGGTGCGGAACCCAAAACCCTACATGGAATGGCCACACGTCGCTCAAGTTCTTCGCTGTGTCGCACCGATTCATGTCGCAGTGCTTCTTCCTTCTGCAGCTGGTCAATTTGCGTATGATGTATGCTTGCTGCAGCGTTCTTCTCCTGGACAATGGTTCCTTGCTACATCGCCAGCGACAGATGGACACTGGCTTCAGCACCAAATAATGCTGCTGCCGCACCGGATTCTTCTGCATACGAGACAGAGCACTTGCCGTTCGATTCGACCAAGGCCCTTTCGGCAATGTGCATGTCCGACTTGAACTGAGGGTTCTCCCTCGTGCGCTCGACGTCGGTTCTTAGGAAGTGCATTTGATGATTCAAGCTGCCAACATGTTGTTGATCACTCAGGTCGTAGGTGCTGAGCTTGATGCATATCTGATACAGTCATCATTGCATGCTCCATTTTCGCCCTCACTGTCTGAGGCACTTCACTCACATGAGTTGTTGGTGCGCTATTGTTCCCCACATCTTTGTGAAGGGTTCTTACTTTTATTGGCTGTCGTCCGCCCGCCGTCCGCCCGCCGTCCGCCCGCCATCCGCTCCCATTCTCTTCCTCCTCCAAATTCTTCCAACACACACACACACACACAACACACATAACACACACCACAACACCCACAACACACACCACAACAACAACAACTCATCACGACGATGACGACCACGACGACGACTACGACTACTAGTGCTTCTTCTACTTCTACCACGAACTGCCCCCAGACTCTGCAGTCTAGCTTTGTGGAGAGTTTGTTAAAATGAGCACGTCAAAGACTGTGCAAAATGACCACTACTGCGCAGTCCTCGGCTTCGGCACCACCGTTGCTGTGCACGCTCGCAAGCGGGAAGTGGGGTGGGGGTCAATGAAAAGCATTGCGCAGGCACTCTTCGCATTCCCGAGCTCTTGCGGTCCTCATGGGATCGAAGCCGCAATTATTGATCTTCCCCTTATTCCTCAGCTGCTTGTTCTTTGGGGCAGCCGTCTTGGAAGGGACGCATCAGCAAGTTCACGTTTCTGAAGTCTGACACTGGCCGTCACTGGCCCAAAAACCGGTGCCGTGCCAGGACCAGCCAAGGGTCTTATTCTGGGTGTTAATCTCACCTGTGCAGAAGCATTAAGTTGAGTTGCGGGGAGACGTAGATGCTCCGCACTTACATCCTTGCAGCCTCTGACTTGGGCCCTGAAGCCCTTGTGTTTAGTCAACTGCTGAATCTGCGCCTTGCACGAAGGACGGCTGAAATGCCCCCACCAGGGCAAACTTCAGGCGCACATAATCCTGACACAGGCTTCAAAAAGCGGCGTGTAGGATGGCTTTAAGTGCACACCGTCAAAATATCGAGATGTGGCGGAAGTGTTTCAACGTCCTTGGTGAAGAGACCCTCAACCTCCTCCGGCTTCAGCTGGTGGGATCTGTGCTCGGCCAGAAGCTCTCCATTTTCGTTCGGACTAGCTTGATGCATTCCACATTTGCATCGCTTAGTAGTCACCTCGTGTGCAAGAAATACACATCGCCTCTTGAGCCTGGAGAGTGCTTGAAGTGCTGGATGTGCCTTCCAAGACCAACAAAATTTCGGAGTTCCCTTTAACAGGCATAGCTGCAGGTCGCATCGAATCTTTAAGACATGAGCATGAGCCTTGGCACTGGGCACAGCGGCACCCAGCTTGGCGGCGAGCTCAACCACCAACGCTGCAAATTGGCTCATACCTGCCGTACGACACCACGCGTAGACACTTTGAAACATTTGTCGAACAGTGCTTGCCATCGCAAACTTGGCAGGACCACGGCTCACAGAAACGCAGCTCTGATCCAGCCAGCTGTGGTAGGCTCTCGCCTCAAGCTAGTAGGTTCGCATACGCTCAGAACTTCTCTGAGGTCGGTCACAACTCACACAAGCAAGAAATTCATGCCTGGGTCTTCGAAACAGTCAGGAACTCTTTGTACAGGTTCCTATACCTTTCAAGCAGCCAGAAAGCAGGAAGCGGTTGAGCATGCCTCGACAAACTGTCACAGTCGTTGCCAGTTCCATGAGAAGGACCTTACAAGATTTGTACATTCGTCAGTTCGCAGTGATGGGCACATGATCGGCTCCGAGAACTGTCCGTCGTCAAAGCGGGCCCGAGTGATGTAATTGTGCGCGAGGTGTGCAGGAAAGTCCTGACCCACTTTCAGAAAGCTGGCTTGGGCGAAGGGACCATTGATTGCTCTGCTAACGTCCTCAAGATTCCGGCAGTTGGCTGGAGCTGCCATTTTGAAGACATCCTGACGTTCTCTCAGATGTGAAGCCGGGAAGCACGATGCTTCAAAAGCTCCCGCCCATGCTGCCTGTGTGCTCAATGCAGCAGCTATCACCACACCATCTCCTGGGATTCCCAAAGCCCAAGACAGAACCACGAGCTTGGTCAGCTGGATCCTCGGCACCGCCGCACGAAACGAGGCACCCACCCAAGCACATGAACATGAACACAGAAACAAGGCGTCTGCTTCAACCTGGTTCTGAAGGGTTGGGTGGGAATGTTGGGGTTTCTGTTCAAGTTCTGACAATCGCAGCTTGGCTGCTTTTGTGGAACGTGCATCTCAAGCAAATTCGAGTTTCAGGGAACTCGAACCAGGAATCGTGCGCACATACGCGAACACGGCTCGTACTTTGACTCCGCTAATACCTATACCGCGAAGCACTGCTTTTGGCTACTCGCGATTCACTCATTGCCACCCAACCAACGCTACGCTAACGACGTGTTAGCCAAGACTCCTACGGTCCTACTGTGGTGCAGTGGTCCTGTTTTGGTCGTAGCGCAGACTGTACCCGGACAGGTACGCCGACACCAGCCCCACCAACCTCAATCTCCCGGAGCATGAACCAGGTGGCGATCACGAGCACATCAGCTGAATGGGCCGCCCACCGAGGGTCGAAGGCCCTACCGTCGGCGAAGTCCACCAAGGGCGCCAGAGCGTCGAAAGCGAATGCCTCCTTCAGGCGCGAACCTGAAAGTCGCTGACAATGGACTTGATGACGCGGTTGGTGTGGCGACAATCCAGCGGATCCAATAGGGTCGTAGCAGCGATGGGCCAAGGGGCGACCCTGCCCTCGAAGGCGAGCTGGTTCCCTCCACCGCAGCCGTGCAGAAGGCTACAACTGACCTTTTGGCTGCCAGTTCCCGGACAAATCCGTCATTAGCCCGCAAAGGGGCGGAGCACGGTGAGACCGCGCCCCAGCGGCAGGGCTGGCGAAAGGAAGAAAGGCGAAGAGCACGGAGGCGCTGATGTAGCCGACGATCGACATGAACCGGTCGTGGTGTGTGTGGGGCTGCCTGCGAATGGGCGGAAAGCAGATTGGGAAGAGGCAGCGAGCCCCATGGGGAAGGCATTCCACTGCGACCGCGGGCTCCGCGGCCGTGGTAACGCCATGGCGCTTGCCCACGCGCCTGTCCCCCACCGGCGGGAATAAGGCCACGCGCAGCGGGTACCTTGTCGGTAGCCCGCCCGGCTGGAGGGTGCGGTGCCTCGCCAGGCCTTTCACCACGGGCGTCTTGGCCTTGCGCACCGACGTCTCCTGTACGAACTGGGGCGGCCCACCACATGGACGGCGGAGGAGAGGGCGTAACCGAGGCGCCCATCACAAGTTGCCCCATCCACTGGCGGTTATACTTCTTGGAAAGGCAACGCAGGCCGCCCTGTGCTGCAGTATACTCGCCCAGGATGTGCGAGATCCTCGGCCACAAAACGAAGGGCCCGGGTCCGCGGCTGGGGAGGCGGGGATGCCGTAGACGCCGACGTACCCCTGTCAACAGTCGACGACGAAGGCACCAACAGAGAAATCGAGGGAGGCGGCGGCGAAGTGTCTGGGGCGACAACGACCTCATCGCCGAGGTGAGTGCCTCCACCGACGCCCCAGCACTGAAGGTCTGCATGAAAATCACCCCGTCGGTCGATGCCAGCCGAGAAGCCCAGCGTGGGCTGCGCAGCGATCCCCTCTGCGCCCGGCGACGACGTAGTAGGTGCCGCCACCAGATCCAGGCCAGTCGCCGAGGCGAAGTCGGCGAAGGCCTCGGTGAAGGTGCCAGGCGAAGAGGCACTGCAGGTGGCCATGCTGGCGACGAGAGGCGAAGGGATGAACACAGAAAGTTCGGGTGATCGAGCCGGATGCTGCCGGCCGATCGCTTACGCTTGTTCCTACGCACATAACTGCGCTACACCGCGCCACAGCTACGCAGAAGCTCTGCAACTTCTCGGAAGCGCTTTCTGGCAACGTGTCATACTAAGTCACTATGTGTCGCCACTGGACAAATTCTTCTGATTTCAAGCAAAGACACCACAAAGGATATCTATTTCCAGCCCAAAGTACGACATCGGAAACGTTTTGCATGACCTCAGTACGCCCAGAATCCTGTAGATTCCCGGATTCACCGACAGTCGACGGACACTACATAACACCGGTGTGGGCTCACTAGCATCGCTGCTAGAAGTCTTAATTAGCAAGCGCCGAAAAGAAACACTGCAACACTTGACACCAAAGCTGGATGCTCACGATTTCTCACGATTCAATCCTGATGCCTAACGAGGTCGTGAATGACTCATGATGGTTCTCGCCCGCGCCACATAACAGCAGATGCCTTAGCCTTGGCCTTGGGTTGCTGCAACGTCGCCTGGCTTCTTCGACACCCGGCAAAGCTTTGGGGTGCATTTGCTCGATCTTTCAACACCTCCAGAGAGTCGGTCCTTCATGTGCGTACTTGCAGCGGTCGCCTAGTCGATAACCCGAATTCCGCCGATGAAACATGCACTTTCGCTGAGGGTTTGGTACATTTACTTCAAGTATAATATAAGCTAATCTCGAGCAGGATGAATGCTGTCGTTTGTAATATTCCGGTAACAATATCTACCCCAATATTCCCCAGGACCAACCCCGGACTTACTCTGAAAGGGAAACATCTGAGTTACCGTTCGTTCCCTTTCCTTCACCCCTCTTTGGCATTTCGCTTTGCCTTGCTGTGCTGTTGCAATGGCTTCCTGCGACGAGCTCGTGTTTGCCAGAAATCTTTTGTTGGCAGCTGGTGCAGCTCTCCTTCGCCGAACCAAGCATCATGGAGGCAAATGGAGGCAAAACGATGCACAAGCGGCAGACAAGTCTGCACCGCCTCATGCTTATCCAACCGATCTGCTCTTACAGTGGTACTGCACCTCTGGAAGATTGAAAGCGACAACGCCAGGTTTCGCCAACCTCTTTCGGCATAACAACTAACGAGTCAGCGGTGGGCGACTCGAGACAAAGCACACCCAGCGACTCAAGGCTCATCGACGAATCCCGGTCATCGATCGAATTCCCCCAAACACTTCATTGCCCCTCTTGAGCCATCCCAGTACGACGGCACGTCGATTTGTGCTTGTCTGAGTCTGCCTCAAGGGCCATGCGACAACAGCAAGACTGAAACCCGAGCCGCACCCTAAACCCACTAGCCACACGTGCACAAAAACCCGCAAGCTTTTTGAAATGGTGAATTGATCCATGCTGGATCGATGTCACACAGCTGGCCTTGTGAACGTCCGTTTGTGAAATTCGCTGTGCTGAGGTGCAGCCTGCTGGCTGCAAACATGTATTGACTGTATTGACAAACAGCATCAGTCACTACCCTTCGTACAGGGGCGGCTAGACCATGAACGAGGATGGAAAATAGAAAAACAAAAAAAGCGCTTAACGAAAACGCCGTGGATGCCTTACCCACAGCAAAAGATAGACACCAAGGCCTGCAGCACTGCACAACCGTGCACAGCAAGAAGCCCTAAGGCCTAAATCATGACCGAAAGCCTTTGGCCCGACAAATCCGTGCACAGGAAACCATACTGAACGGATATCGTCGAAGCGCCTCATCGCGTCCTATCGACTTACAGCTTGCAGGCTCGTTGCGACGGTATTGGCTCTTCAGCTTATTCTTCTCGCCGTTCGAGCTCACACCGATAGGTGTATCTACACCCACAATGCATGCCAAGAAGAGGTGGGTCAGCGAAAATGCTCTGAGGCAGGATCGTTGTTGGCATGAAGACTGCGATTCGGCCCAAGGATGCGACCTAAGGCCGATCCAGTTGCTGAAAGCTCTCACCCTCTCCACCCATCTCCACCTCACCATCGGCTTTCAGGGCACCCAGGTCCTGCACCACCGCACAGCTTCGGGATGTTGAAACACAATCATCGCGGTTTACGGCTCAAGTCATCTCTCGTTGCAGTAAATTCCGTGTGTGACGCATTTGCACTTGGTTCCTGCAGGTTCTGCGCAGCTGCAGCAATCCGCTGCTGTGGCCTGACATGGCTGAGGCACAAGAGCTTTCGCTGCCGTTCCGATGACACGTTGGAAAGCCCAGTATCTCCATTGACAAAGCCCCACCGGTTTACGCACTGGGCCGGTGGCGGGGAGTCAATCAGCTGCTGAAGCAAGTCCTTCGAGTGCAAAGGCAGGTCTGGTGGAAACCGGGCACGCAGCAAAGTGCAAACCACCCTCCTCCGGAGGTCCAAGATGATGTAGCAGCACACGGCCTTGCTCCATATTCTCGCTGTCTTGGTGAAGCGCTGAGAGTTTGATGACTTGGGAAAAGGGCTCTTGAGGTAGATGGACTCCAGAGGCACTCCCAAAACCTGGCAAATATCCGCATGTCCTGGGCCTGGAATCTCACTTGAGCATTCTGCCGGCACCTCCGGCGAGGCATACGCTTGCAGCCGGTCGTAGTGGCTGCGGGGGAACAGATAAACGATGACCTCAAAAAAAAGCAGGGCTATCAGGCAGGGCTGCAAGGGTGTCCCAGCGCGCACGCTCACACCCAAGGGCGAGACCCCTTCCTGCAGCCGGCCGCAACGCCCTCGGCCTCTGGCAAAGTGGGGCCAGGATGCATCAGAGCCTGAAATTCCTTCTGATACGAGCACGCTAGGCTTTGAACGCTGTCGGCAGGTCGCCTGCGAACTCCAGGTGTTGCACAGACTCCTGATTCACATCTCACAACCTGAGACTGATGCTGCATAACACGAAAAATGCTTACACGGTAAGTTAGCCAAGTCGCTGCATTGCCCTCTCTTCGTCGAAAACCATCTTCCGCACGATGCCGAAATCCAAGACATATCTCACCTTTGAATTGCCACATGTCGCACAAGGAGGATGGGCAAGGGCTAGCGGCAAGCAAGTCAGGCTGAGGAGTCAGCATCGGGAATGGTAATCGATGACCTCTGAAGCTTCACATTGGACCCTCCGGGGTAAGGAGCTGCAGCTGAGCTCGGAACTCTGCGATGTTCGTGGAGAGTACGACTTTGCAGTGGCCAGCCTGGAAAACGCACGAGGACTCGGACGCTCTAAAAACCGCCCAAAGCCGAGTGGCCGAGGTCTGCTCCGAGCGCCGGGCTGGTGGTGGCAGAAGCGCCTTCTTCTGCTGCTCGTGGGGCACCACCGAGTGCAGCATGTGAAAGTCCTCTGCAGATCGAGACTCCCAAACTCAAACAAATTCAACGCTTCCACGTCACCTGCATCGCTTGTGTGACCGTGTGTGAGGTGTGCCCGGGCACACGAAAGACAACAAAGGCCAGGGTCCCAACCAACGGGCATTGGCCGCGCCTAGTCGAGGCCGTGAAGGCCTACGAGGGGCGAGAGAGGCCCACATTGCGGAGGTTCGTCGAAACTCGAACCGCTTCCTTTAAAAGAATCGTAAACGAGCAAGCTCTCCTAGGCAGGTCCAGCAGGCCTCGTGGAGTTGCTCGATCTCGGAGAGCCCTGGCCTGGCTAACAAGACACAAAGCCTGGCCCGGCCCGCAAAAAAAAAAAACGCTCTTTTTGTCCACACTCTCCCCTCTCCGTCCCGGCAGTCTTCTGCAAGGGGCAGGAAGATCAGCACGCAAAGACCCGGCTTCGCCACTGCCTGCACTGTGAAGAATGCATGGGGTCACTAAGCCACTAAGCCACGGACCTGGACGATCCCCACAGAGGCCTCGAAGAGCTGCGGATTTACCTCCGAAGTCCAGAACTCTCAGCGCTCCCTTGCTCGGGGGGTCCCGTAGTGTTGGAATGTAAATACTGGAAACTTCAAAAGACTTGATCTGCGAGATCTTAGCGAGAAGATTAGAGGGATGCTTGAAAGAAATTTGTGAGACTCTCCGGAGACGCGCAACTTGGATCCCAAGCATCGGCAAGGCTTTGGACCTACGGGTGTTTGCATGTGTTCGGGCCCAAGTTCCTGCGGCTGAAGTGGATGACAGTCTAACATGCAATCATGCCCCGCACAGTTTGAAACACGCAGCAAGATGTGACCCTCAATCATCGTTGCTCATAGTATGGCGTTTTCTCCTTTTCGACGCTCTCCCACGTTGTCAAAGCTTTTTATCAGACTTGAGGGCTGTACTGAAAGGTAAAGAACCAAATAAATCAGCCTCGACGCGGCCTCCAATTTTGTCAAACCTCCATGGGCTGCACCAGGCATGCGTGTTCGGGGGACACACAGGAGGCCCAGATCCCTTTGCCTGTCGAGACGGACTCGTGGGATGAAGCCAGGCAATGCCTAAAGCCGAGCCCGGCCCCAAGCACTACAAAACACCGCTTCTTCCTCCAACTTAGGGCAGGAGCTCCGTTCACCAGGTCGTCCAAAAAGTACGGGTACCTCGGCTTGGCAAAAGGTCTTAGTCTTGGCAAGATGATGCTCTCTCGCTTCGGTGCAGCCACAATTTCACATGAAGCCGCTGCAAGGGTGAACTTGATTTTGCGAATGATGCAAACAGTGCGGCATGTGAACTTGCGCATTTCGTCGCCGGGATCCCCACACACACACAGACAGGGACCCTCCTTCTCTGGAGATCTGCGATAGCATTCTCATGCAGAGGTTCTTAGCTTGGCCATGAAATACAGGTGCATCAGCACGGCGCCTCCTATTTGATATCCTTTCCAAAACAGCAGTAGCTACGCTACCAAACAGAGTCTCTGCCTCCAGCATTCAAGAGAGCACTGTGTACAAGAAGCCTTTGCTAAAAGCTCGGTACAAAACACTTAAAACACACACACACACATTTTTATTCATATATATATATATATAGATATACATATACCTACATATGTACATACCTACCTACCTACCTACCTACCTACCTACCTACCTACCTACCCACCTACCTACCCACCTACATACATACATACATACATACATACATACATACATACATACATACGGAAAAGACAATATCAATGTGTGTGTATATATATATAGATAGATCTGTCTGTACGTGTGCGGGCTCGGACAAAGGCTTTAATTGAGCAGTGCAGAATGCCACGCTAAGATCTTGAGCATGACTTACCCATGGCAGCCCTGTTCGGATTGGTTCGGCACCTTTCCACCAGCTCGGCATGCGAATCCAAAAAAAATCTTCGTTCGACCAGGCGACGTGGGAAAGCGTCGCGCTCCGACCACGATGGGTTTTCGCTCCACCTGAACACCTGTGCTTGTCTGGTTCGAACGGTTCGACAAGTCCTCTAGCTCTCACAAGGCATGCAGGCATGCCTTGACCAGAAAAGAAGTCGAGGAACCTCGTGCGGCTCAGAACGAAGATCGACGATTCTGACAGAGGCAGCACATAGCTACAGGTGCTGGCTAGGAATCCGGGCGCCTGGCTGAGTTGCATCCACCGTGGCGCTCATGAGGACCAAGCGCCTCGCTCCACCCGGAGGACAGGAGGACCTAGCGCCCCTCTGTGTGGTGCTCTGCGTCGACTCCGAGTTGCGGGCAGTGATGGATTCTTCTCGAGGCTTCTCTTCAGGAGCAAGCAGAGGAGGTCCTGTTACGAAAATGCGTTCGAAACAATGCGACGAAAGCGGAAACACCCCCGGTCGTGACATGGTCATCACGGTCCATGTCGAGATCTCTTTCATGGATCTCGTCAAGCACAATGTGCGTGTAGTGGCGCAGCGCCTCGGATCGGCAACCTCCCAATCTAGCGACCCGCCAATCCCATCTCCAAGATCTGAAGAACCATGACTTGAGAACGAGCGCCTGCGGGCGATGAGCCAGGTACATTAGCAGCCACCCTGTTTGCACGGCTCATCACAAAAACATCCACCCTGCAGCCTGGCCTGTGGTGACAAAAGACAGGCGCGTCGATTCTGAAACCTCCCCAGACACCAAGTGTGCTGCCGCACTGCCAGGAAGGGCAGTCGCATGGGTCCGGCCAAACCAAATTAAAGAGAAACCAAAGGAAACGCGATTCAGCCTCAACACCCAAGAAGATACATAATTGTTGCACTGCGGTTTGGCACTGGTTTGGCCATGCCTACTGCTTTGTGCCGTCAATTTGAATAGGAAATGGCGGAACCAGGAAGGTGAAGCGACAGGGACGGAAGGCAAGGCACCCCACGCCTTTCCGTCCATGGCGACTCGGTAGCCTGGGCAGGTCGACATCTGCGGGAACATGTGCCGTGATTTGCCTTGCTGAAAAATGCCCCCCAAATCTTGGCTGCTCGCAAAAATTTTAATGACCATACCGTGAACCTAGGTTGTCGATCCTAGACCATAGGCTTTTTAGGGAAGGTTTCGGGGAATTTTGCTGAGCCCTCCGCCAACGGTTTCGCCGACCGCCTCTTGGCACTGGGATGCGACACCTCAGCTACCGGCGCTGTGACGTAATGAGTCAAAGCGAAAAGCGCCGTTCGTCTGCCTCTTCAACCATCCTAAGTGCAGGGGTCCGGGCGCTGTGCCAGGGAAATGGCCGCAATGCGTCGCGGCTGGGTAACAGCCTCTGCCACACTCATGCCCTGTTCTCTTGGGATTGTCGTTGGCGTGGGGTCACACGCATATTGCCGTGTTTTTGGGTTTACGGCAGTCGGCTTGGCTGGGAGCGATACTTGCGTTGGAACGGTCCTGAGTTTCCATTCTCTCCTTCTTGCTCCTCATGAAGCCATCCTTCCGAGAATGCTATTGCTAGCCCGGGACTGCTCCTTCACCTGCCAGTAACTCTTCCAGGGTACAAGCTGCAAAGAAAGGAATCGGGACTTCAGAGTCATTGGCGAGAGCTTACTCAAACGCAACCGAACCTCGTCAAATCCCGTCGTTTTCATAGTTTACAGGGTTTTAAGGTAGGACTGAACTTTAAACCCTAAACCAACACATCTGAAGGCGTCTCGAAGCCCTCGAAACAAAGGATTCCACCTTGAATGGAGCATGTCTTATTCCGACAAAGGGGGGTTTTGGCGGGTTTGGTCACCGGAAGCATCCCATCAGATTTCAGCATCGGGCCTAGGCCTCGGTAGCGGTCAGTTGGGTAGTTTGGACTTAGGGATACTTAGGGCCCTTTGGGCTTCTGGGGTTTAGTGGGGTTTAGAGGGGTTTAGAGGGCTTAAGGTTAAGCTTTGAGTTTGGTGCTCGAGGGTCCGGTCAGTATCGTTGAGCTCCCAAGCGCAAATCGCTCTGTCAAGTGAGAGCCCTATGCAATCCAGTCCGAAGGACACAGAGGAGACAGAGACAGAAAGACACACAGACACACAGACACACAGGCAGACAGACAGACAGGCAGACAGAGACAGAGATTGACAGAGAATGACAGAGACTGACAGAGACAAACACAGACAGACCCAGACAAACCCAGACAAACCCAGACAGACACAAACAGACACAAACAGACACAAATAGAGACAGACAGACAGACAGCCAGCCAGGCTGGCAGGCAGGCAGGCAGACAGACAGACAGGGCAGAGGCACGCAGGCAGGCAAGCAGACGAGTAGAAAGAAGACCAGCCGGACGACCAGCCAGACGAACAGCCAGTCAAACAGCCAGAGGAACAGCCAGACGAACAGCCAAGACGAACAGCCAAGACGAACAGCCAGACGAACAGACAGAAAAACAGACAAACGAACAGCCTGGTGCTGCCCTGCCCTGCCTTGCCCTCCTGCCCTGCGCTGCCCTGCTCTCTGCCCTCTGCCCTGTCCCTGTGCCCTGTGCCCTGCCTGCCTGCCTGCCTGCCTGCCTGCCTGCCAGACAACACAATGGTCATAGTGCCACAGTACGTGTAGTCTGTCCCCTTGAGTTGGTGTTTAGGGTTGTATGTGTACTGCAACAGAATCTCGCAGACACACAGACAATGCTTGCAATCAATGCAAACTCACTATTTAACGCCAGGCGGCAATCTTGCCCTTGGGATCCTCCAAGAAGACCATTGGCATTACGGACGACCTGAAATAAGCTCCGCCACAACTGGAGTTGGCTCGGGGAAAAGGTCACCCCATTGCCACCCCAAGTTTCTGAAGACTCCGCTGGGTCCGAGGCTTGCCGCAACCTGTCTCTCCCTGTATGCAGATGACTTGTGAACGCCTGAGCTGCTCTCATGAAAGATCATAGGAGGGCAGGTGGCATCATGCAATTCAAAGCAGGGAGCTCTGCGCCGTCATGATTTACAATTTCAATGTATCCTGGTCTTGCGGGTGCAAGGTGGGGCAGGTGGCATGATCCTTGCAAAGAGGGTCAGTCACAGACTGCATGAGTTCGCCCAAACCTCCTTGTTGGATGCATTGCAAGAACGGTGTGCGGAAGCTCGGCGAACCTCAAGGCATCTCGGACTGCCTGTGCAGCTGTCCATGCCGGCCTCGGCACAGGCCCTTGTTTTTGTCTTTGCGATAACAGCCACTTTTTGAGCAGCCAAAGGGCAGCTCGCTAAAGCTCGGCGCTCGCGGGCCCGCAGATGCCTCGCCTGTTTGCGCGCGAATCCAACGGTCCGAGAAAGCCCGCGGCAGCTTGAACTTGTCACTTGGCTTGCGCTCTACACACACGATCGGTCCGATGCGCCTGCAGGGTACAATGGCACACTCTTCGGCCTCGCTAAGGAAAGCCGCACGCAGTCTCAGGCTCATGTCTCGGCTCCGCCCCGAGCTCGGCGCTGCCCGGGCTCCGCGGCAGTCGCACTCGGCCCGTTTGGCCCGGCCGCTACCGGCCTCTCGATGCGCAGCGCAACACGCGCGGTGTGAGGCGCGAGGCGCGCGTTCGCGTGGAAGCTCCGAATTCTCCGACTCTGTGGCTGCTGCGATGCCGAGACATCCGCATCGAACTTTCCTTCCATGGAACCCGGCTGAGGTGCGACGGGGAGATCGGGCGCAAAACAGACGAAGCGTCACCAACACTCAGAGATTCATGAGTTTCCTTGCAGATCAACAGATGCATGGCATGGCCCTGGCCTTTGCCTTTCCCTTTGCCTCCGCCTTTCTTTCCTGTAGCAGATCAACTGCCCGACGTTCAGCCGCAGTTTGAGATGTGAACAAGATGTCCCTGTCTTGTCTGAACGAGAGGCTTAGCCACGCGACACGTCTCACTCAGTTCGAAATGCACCAGTGCTTCACAAATCCAACTCGCCTGCATTGTCCTGCCAGCTGCCACTTCCCGAGCCACCACCTCCCTGCCAGTGCATCTTGTGGGTGAGGCCCATCCCCACACGGAAAGATTGACTCTGACTGGCATCTTGCCAACGGTGTCAAAGGGATATCGAATATCATCCCCAAGCATCAGGCTCTTGCTACTGCACCTGCCAAGCACCCTGGCACACAGCAAACACCTGCCTTGCCAGCGCCGTAGCCACCTGACATCCGTCCCTATGCAAATCACGTGGGCTCAACAACCGAGCTAAGTGAGAGAGACAGTGAGAGAGAAAGACAAAGACAACGAATGTAAACGCAACAACACAATATGGGCATGTTGTGCAAATATCGGCTGAGAGCTAGCTATCTTTCCTAGTTATATTATAGTTGTATCCTAGGGTTATATTTTGACTTATCTTTTTAGTTCATATTTAATGAGAATATTTAGTTCATTTCCAGGTTATAGAATCTTATAGGTAATTTATAGTAGGATATTAGACCTATATTTTAGTGGTATCTTGTAGGCTTAGAATTTACCTTATTATTATAGGAGAGTTTGTAACCTTCATGAATACTGGAATCCCAAGTCATTATTACAGGAGGATATTAGTCATATTTAGGAGTCATTATATTTTAGGTGTAAGGTATAACTAATTTGTAGGTGATATTGGAGGTGGTAATCTGAACTAACTTTCCGGTTACTATTTGACCTAGATTTCCAAGTCAATGAACCACTACATGAGATCGCCTGTCGTTCACCTTTTGTTTATGTTTCGTTCATTATTTTTCAATGTAGAGAAACGAAGCGAGAAAATAATGAACGGAACAAACAAAATAAGAACGAAATAAATCTCATGTCTTGGTCATTTTCCTTTGGTAACTTGTAATTGTTCATCTCTTATTATCTGGAATCTACACCTTCGTTCACCTGGAATCGCTTCATCCTTCTTGGCTTCCTATTTTCCTTGGTTATTTGCCTTATTTAATCTAATGAAAGAAAATGA